ATGGCATAGCGCGCGTAGGTCAGCGGCCACATTGGCAAGCTGGCGGTCGCTCCGCACCGGCGGCGTCAAGGCCTCGGGCGCTTCCTCATGCAAGAAGCCATTTCGCGCATGCGAAGGTACGCTTCATATGCAACAAAGAGGAGGATTGCAGGAAGCGACTGTAGTGCCATGAGCATCTCGCTGCACGTGGGCGTGGAGCGCACGGGGGCATTTGCCTTGTACACATCGCTTGGCTTTCGCATCGAGCACATGCGCAAAGACTATTACAAGGTCGGTCGCGACGCGTACTTTATGGCGCTCGAATCCGACGACTTTGCCGCTGCGTTGCGCTAGGTGACTAGGGGCGCGCGCCATCGACCGCGTACGCCTCAGCGACCAGCGTCGCATCTAGAGAGCGTGGATCAAAACCACAAATATATTCTGCGGCTGAGATCTACCCAACGGCGCCTTCTCGGCAAAGCACTCTTGGCACGCGTAGATCGGGTCGGCGTACGACCCTTTTCGATGCTGGGGGCAGTAGACGCACGCAAAGCGCGCGTAGCAGAGCTCGCAAAAGATGCACTGCTCTGGCTTGGACCACGACTGTCGCATTTGCTTGGCGTTGTAATAGTAGACGTCGCCTAGCACATCACAAGTAGGCGGCTCGTGTCGCCGCGCCAACGCACCGGTAATGTCGGGCACAATGTACCACTTGTCGAGAAGCGGGATGTCCTTGGAGCCCAAACACGCGGGTTTCGGACACAGCGATCCCGTGCGCAGATTGCGGTAGACAACTTGACCACTGGGCACGTCGTACTCTTTTACAAAGATGGCCTCGACCTTGCGGCAAAGGAGACGCCGCGCCAAACACACCTTGGCACCGCGCTGGATACGTGTCGCGGCGGCAAACGTGCGGTCCGCGTCGGCTTGCAGCTCGGCTTTCTAAGGAGGCATTCTCTTGCAGCAACTCGGCACATGGCATGAAATACCCGCTCGCGGTCGGCGTCGTCCTGCTCCCGCTGCTTGTACGCAGTCGCAGCCAGTGTCCATTCGAGGCGGACCTATGCCGCATTTTCCATCCGCGAATTTGTGATAATTGAGGTTACGCGATCGCGCTCGGCCTCCATATCCTCTTCGAGCACAGTGTGCTGCGCTCGCTCGCGGATCTCGGACGACTCCATCGCGACGCCGGACGCCTTGAACTCTTTCCGCAGCGCCTACGTAGTAGTGGTAGCACCGAGTCATGGCACGTCGTTGTGCCTTAAAGTGTTGGGTCGTGCGGCGTTCGAGGTCGGCCTTGATCGCGTCTTGCTCCTTGGACGTCGGTCGCAGCAAGAGTTCTTGGAGCTGTGCGCGGACAAGGTTCGCGCGGCTCTCGACCTTAGTGCTCCAATCGGCTTGGAATTGTGTCCATTTCTCGGCTTTCTCGCGCGCTTTGGCCGCGGCTTTCTCGTCGCGTTGACGGAAGATCTCTTCCCACTCGCGCCGCCGACGGCGCAGCGTCACCTTTTGCTTTTCTCTAATGGCATACATCAACCTCGATATCGACGACAAATCCAACGCCACTTGTCGTCGATCTTGCGCCGCGCTTCAGCCGCGTGCGTCTGTTCGCGCAGTGTGTCGTAGTACTCGGTCACCGCGCGCTTGTGGTCTTGCTTTTGCCGCGACGCCGCGTCCAAAAGTGCTTGCATCTCGAGTTCGACGCGGCGATTTTCGCGCGAGTTGTCGTCTGCCTTCTTTTCTTGGACGTGGCGGTGGCATTTGCGGCAGAAGCGCTAGTAGTCGGGTCCTGAGACAAGCCCGGATGTGAAAGCAAGCTACTTGAAGCTGTCGCGCGGCGTGGTCGCGGATCGTTGCGTAAAAAGCTGCTCGGTCGGCTTGGATCTTGGCCATTTCGGCTTGGAAGTACGCGAGGAGCACCTTGCGCGCAAGAACGCGGCCTCGCCAGCCACGAAAGACACGCTAGTCAAGAGACCCTAACCCCACGTCTAAAAACACGCCATTTTGAACTACCTGAATTTTGATGGCAAACCGACTCTGCATTTGGAGTCGTTTGAGGTACTTGAGAAAGTCACCGCGCTGCCGATAGATGCGCTGAATGCTGACGGCCGCTTCATACGTGGCGAGGACAGAGACAAAGAGTTTGCGCCCCCGCAGCCCTCGGTAGACGCGCTACGCATCATCGATGTCGGTGTGTCACCAAATTGTTTGTACCTGGATCTCGGACGCGGCGACGTCTTGCAACGCGTGTTCTTTTAAATTCTCAAACGCGTTGGCTTGCTTGTACGTCGAGAGATGCAAGAGGCAGCGAATGGCCGTTTGTCGCGCACGGTGGCGCGCGTCAACATACAGCAACCACTCGCGCATGCACTATGCGAAGAGTTGCATACAATATTGTCACGTACCAACAGGCGAGGTTACCTTGCGCAAGCTGCGGCGTTTGTATTGGAGCAGGAACCGCTGGCATGTGGCCTTGTCCTGGGCGTCTTTTCGCGCGAGATACAAATACTCGCGGATGCACGGACTCGTGAGCTCGTGGAAGAAGTGCGTTGCTTTAGACGCCGGGGCAAAGAGCTCTTGTAGCGGCGGCTGCGCCATGAGACTCTGCATATGCTGGAAGCGAATGGTATCGCGCACGAGCACCGACACGGGTAGCAAATTGTCGGCTTGTGCAATCTACACAGGTTGTCTATTTTCACACAAACTGGACAGGTCGTCTCGCACCCGTTGGTTGAGGATGCGCGAGCACGCGTGGTTGGGGCTGAGCATGTTGAAGATCTCGTACAGTTGCTGGCGGGAGATGGTCGCCTGCGGAGACTCGTCAAGGTACCCGGACGAGCTAAAGACGAGGAAGCACCAGCGAAAGAGGTCCTCTTCGCTCTGCGCGGGGTACCGCAAGGCGCTACCCCACACAATGTAAAGAAGAGGCAACCGCACATTTGACAGTACCGAAACGCACAGAGGAGGCGGCGCCAGTTGAGCACAAGTGTGCTCATCGAGTGCGACGTGGGGATCTTGGACGTCGAGTTCTCACACCAGTAGTGCAGTCGTTCGAGCTGCTTGAGCAAGAGGCGCTTTGGCTTGTCCAGGTCCGCGCCGCATTCGAGACCGTAAATGTCGCGAAAGACACCGAGTAGTCGCGCCTTGGTGACCATGTCGCGGGGAAAGGACCGGTGCAGCGTCTCGTAGAGCCCTCGGTCGTGGCCAGAGAGCGGAATCAAGCGAAACGCGTCGTGGGCCATGATTGTTTGATGCTATCGCTATCCATGTGTAGCCATCCTGTAGGACATCTCTGGTGGTACCAGCTGCAGAAGCTCTTGCCAACGTTTGACGGAGAAGCGCTCGACGAGCTCATTCGCCTCGGCGTGCACCGCCTGCAGCTCTAAACGCAGTGTCCGCGCCTTTGGCGGCTCGAGCATCGCCGTTTCGAGTATCGCAACCGTTCAAGATACCGCGAGTGTCGTCGCCCTGCCTTTTTGGTCCTACCCACGGGTGCGATGCTACGCAGGTACACGAGGCGCGAGATAGAGGTTCAAATTGAATTGTTATGTATGTTAAAAAGACCTGGAGCGTGCTGTCGACGGCCAATTGCCGGGCGTAAGGTCGGCGGTCTCGCTCATTTGCGCAGCACGCCGCCAGCGCCAGAC